GGGGATGTTCTTTCTGGAATAGCTGAGGGACTTCCAAACACTTCAGTTGTGGAGGGTATTCTGAGTTGTGTTATTTTTCCTAGACCCCACTGTGTGTAATTGTGTCTGTTGTCTCAGCTGGTAACAGTCAGGGGTCTCTTGTGTTGTTCTAGTAACACGTTGAGTCCGTGTTTCTGGAAGGTGTCTGTTGATCTTTGTAGCCTTTGGATGTCCCAGGTTCTCTCTATGCTTGGTGTGCCCGTGGTGGTTATGATAAATTAGAAATGTTGTAGGTCTCCCTGGAGCTGGGCCTGTGGCTGAGTTGGTGGCTGGCTTTGTCTATTCTCTAAGTACTTTGAGACTTTCTGGCTCACAAGTCTTCAGGCCTCTGTTGTGGGGGTGGGATCTCCCCCTCCCCACAGGAGTTCAGGGGAGTGCCAGAGGGCTGAAATCCTCCCAGCTGAGCAGGCTGCCGGTCCTCTCTCTGAGCTTTCAGGGCTTTTTGTTTACTCCAAACAGCCCTCCCTGAGCAGTGCCTCCCCACTGCCTGAGATCCTCTCACAGAGCTCAGCTGTATCTCTTTAACTCCAGGGTTTTTACCACAGTTTTTGTGGGTAGATGTGGTAAGCAGGTAGATCCCTTAGCAAGTTTCCCCATTTGAGGCACTTCCTAGGGCCTCTCTATATTGAATGTGCCCATGGAAGATTATTAAAATTGTTGCATTTTCCTAGGGTTGGACCTGTGGTTGGGTCCTGTTTAACTGTTTGTTTTTGTTTTCCCCATCTTTAACTCAGGGGCTTTGTGAGTCTTGTTGACCACGCCTTAAGAATGGTGCCAAGATCTGACCAAACCCTAATGTTGCCTAGTCTCAGATCTCTGTTGTGGGGGCAGGAGATGCAGGTAGGACTAGAAGGACCCCAATTGCCAGTTCCTCTTCTCCACCTCCCAGGCTCTAAGTGGAGCAGTTTTTTGGTTTGTTATTTTTTTATTTCCCACCCTCAACCCCCTCCCTGCAGCAGCTTGGGGTCCACTCACCTAGCTGTGTTGTCTCAGTTTATATCCAGGGCTTTGTCGGGGCTGCTGGAGCAAAGGATGGCAACACCTTTCCAGTGTATCCTTGGGTCTCTGGTTCCAAGCTGCAGTCTTCTCCCACAATTTGGCTTCTTCTCCCTAGCTGAGTTGTCTCAGTTTATCTCCAGGGCTGTAGCAGGGCTGGGGCAAAAAGCTGCTGCAGCTGTGCAGAGCAGCTGCAGCTACCCTCCGCACCTAGTCTCCCTCTGCAGTGCTTCCTGGCATCCGTATGCCTAGATTTTTAAAGGAGCCAATCGAGTAGGAAGCCACTGGTGTTCCCTGATCAGAGTTGCAGGGTTCTGTTAACCCTGTCTGTTCCGCTTCTGGTTAGGAGTTTCCATAAGGGAACTTGGTCGATTCTCCCTTGGTTATCTTCCTTCTAGTGAGTCCAGGGTGTTTTCATTTGGGTTGAAACTCGTAGTTGTAAGTCTATAGTCTGTTTTCAGTCCTCAATTCCTGTGCAAGTCTGGACGCAGTGATCTTGGTCTTTACATCTTCTTGAAAAATTGCCATTGAGTTCTTTTGGTTCAATTCTTGGAGTAAATATCCATAGCAGGTTTGGAATTAATATAGTGATTCTGTATTCAAGTTAATCAGAAGTCCTAAGCTAATCAAAAAAGTTTCTATAGTAATGGCATTATCTAACATTCCCAGAAATAGTGCAAAAATGTTCTGTTCTCTGCTTCTTCAATGCTTATTCTTTGTGCTTTGTTTGTCTGCTTTACAAAGCATAGCAGACCATACAGGCACACTGCTGGGAGAGATGCAGAAGATACAATCTTCATGCCCACTCCAGGGGTCAGTAAATGATGGCATGCATAGTCAATCATTTATTATAAAATAAGTCTACTATCTGCTATTCCATTCAACTATTAGTCAGTTTTAAGTTTCCTAAAGTGTTTTAGTAGACTGAGTCAAACTAACGTGTTGATACATTAAGTGCATTTAAATTCTTTTTCAACTTACTATATATATATATATATTATTTTTATGGGCTATCCTCATGACCTTTTTGTTAAGTCAATAGAGACTTATATCATTTTGCCCTTCCAATGAATTTGTGAACTCTGAACAAACACATAGTGTCTCTTAAAATTTTCAAGCACCTAGCACATGTTCTAAAACACCTAAGATGTTATAAAAGAGTTGCAAAATGAATGATGATGAATTTTCTTTATAAATCAAAGAATAGGGAGTTATAAAACACTGACAACAAAGCATATATTTTGGTAAGAAAAATCTATCCTTGTCACACTTGAGATATAAAATATCTTCATTTTTTTTCAAGATATGATAAGAAGGTTAGATAGTAGCCCATATATTCCTATATATTAACTATTTCTTACACTCAATTCTTTCAGGATCTCAGAAGTTCTGTGCAAAAAATCAGCAGATTTCTGGAGAAAGAGCTCAGTGAAGAAGACTTAGATGCTGTTGTGAACCAGGCTACATTTGAAAACATGAAGACTAATCCATTAGTAAATCATGATGCTATAGCAAAATGTTATATTGGAATCAGAACAGATGGAAGTGTCCTGCGCAAAGGTGATGCTCAGTGCCTTATAGGAGAAGTGTCACATGTTCACTGTACCCTCAGCCACCACACTACATGAAGAGGGGTTCCAACACACCCCTCAAGCACTGCTCACTGTGCCCGGGAGCCAAGGATCCTAGTTGTGCATGGTCCTGAAAGGTATCACAGGAAATTGGACTGTACTGTAGTACAGAGCCTCAAATTGGAAGTTGACAAATATTAGTTTCCCAACTTCTTTTTTTTTTCAAGATTTATTTATTTATGCTTATAGAACTGGGGTACAGGCCAGAGCTGTGGTGGGTAAAAGGATTCACCAAAGACAGTAGGGAGAAGAATAGGCAGATGTACTGAAATACACTGCTGAGGGGAGCAGCAGACAGGTCAAGAGAGGTCTGACATGCCATTTGGCTCACCTCCCTGGTGGGAGATTGAACTTGTGCTGTAGTTAGTGGCTTTGAAAGCTTATAATTTGGTGCTTTAAGCTGTGCCACCAGAGAGAGCCCTAGTTTCCAAACTTCTAATCCACGTGACCCCACACTTTAAAATCTGTCAGCAACAATTACCTGCAGAAAATGAGTATATACAACCAGGAGAATGTCAGGATTTCCTAGACTAGTGTAGATATTTACATGATAGTCATTTTATGTGGGGGAAGCCATTTGCCTGATTTTATCCTCATGTATCAAATTTCTTCAAAGTGAGGAGTAGATTGACACTTCATAACCCATTCTCTTATGAGTTTCATTATTCAATAGTAAGCATTTATTTTTCATTCCTGTAATTTGAGTTAACATATTTTGTTACTAATATGCCTTAAAAAATCAAAACTTTGGGCCCTCCCTGGTGGCGCAGCGGGTTAAAGCACAGCACTGAGAATCTGAAGCCGCTTCCGCATGAGTTCGATTCCCGCCTGCCCCGGAGGTGACCACATGGCGTGGCAGACCTCTCCTGACCCGCCCGCTGCTCCCCTCAGCAGTGAACTTCGTCGATCTGCCTGTTCTGCTCCCCATTCTGTCTCTGGTGAATCCTCTCACCCTCCGCATCTCTGGCCTGTACCCCAGTTCTGTATGAATAAATAAATAAAACTAATATGCCTTAAAAAATCAAAACTTTGGGCCCTCCCTGGTGGCGCAGCGGGTTAAAGCACAGCACTGAGAATCTGAAGCCGCTTCCGCATGAGTTCGATTCCCGCCTGCCCCGGAGGTGACCACATGGCATGGCAGACCTCTCCTGACTCGCCCGCTGCTCCCCTCAGCAGTGAACTTCATCGATCTGCCTGTTCTGCTCCCCATTCTGTCTCTGGTGAATCCTCTCACCCTCCGCATCTCTGGCCTGTACCCCAGTTCTATATGAATAAATAAATAAATCTTTTTTTAAAAAAATAAAAACTTTTCAACTTTTAGTGCCCATGATTCTGAAAGAAGCATAATCTGTATTTTTCTGTTTTACTCATAATTTATTCTTTAATGTATTTCGTGATTGTGTGAAGATCTTATTAAAATTTCTCTGGGTACTAACATTTTCAAAAGACAGTGTTCCTCCTTTCATCTATTTTTATCACTTCTGCTTTTTAGTGCTCCACAAGATCAAATATTATGCTCTTCTCCTGAGAGGTTGCTAACTATTCCAAGTGTCAGTAGTAATGTTCAATAATACATCGCCAAATTGTTTCCTCCTAATAAAAATCTGGTTCTATGTCAGTTTGAACACCTGTCAGTTAAAACTGCAGAAATGGCAGGTCCTGGTGCCCTGTGACTTTTACTTCATTAAATAGAATCCATTCTTTTTTTTACATTTTAAAATGGAAGAAATACTTGTCTTTTGTATTTTTTCAAATTATATTACACAACAGTGGTAATATAGCAGTATGCTGTCTGAAGTTTTTAAAAAATAACCATTGTTTCTTAGGTCATGATTTTGCTTTTTCTATTAGAAAGATAAAATGGATGCAGTGTTGGTAGCAGACTAAGCAATATAGAGGTTGATTGTGTGTATGTCTCTATTGCTCATTCCTCTGCTTGTTTTTTAGCCGATGTATGCATGAGGAAAAGCAGCACTTCAAACCCATGGAGAACTGATTATATTTAGCTTGGTCTAGAGAAAGGATTAAAAGTATTCAAGGAGATCTTTGTCCTATTAATTTTGTCACTCACAGAGGTGTTGTTTCTGTGTTTTTTTCCCACTAGGTACCATTGGAGACTGGAAAAATCACTTGACTGTGGAACAAAATGAAAGATTTGACAGAATATTCCAAAAGAGGATGAAAGATTTCCCCTTGAAGTTCATCTGGGATATGGATGAAAACTAGAGTCAGTGCAAAAGAAGTTCATCCAATCAACTAACTCAGAACATATTTTAATATACAGATTCATTTGTGCTTCTCTTGCATATTACTTATAAGTCATTCATAAAATTGTGGTTAAAGTAGATGTGATGAATTTGATGAACACTGAAAAAAGGAAATTTCAAATTATTTGTGGCTATTCTGCCTTGGTGGCCTTCAATTAATGAGAAAAACAGAAAGTGCTGCATGGTTTGGAAATGTGTTGTGATTCTTGTCTCTGCAGTTTCTCATTATCTACATTATAAAATTTAGGAGCAATCAACATTAAAATCATTTTTGTTTCTATAGTTAACCTTTACTTTTTTCAGTTAAAACCAATGTGAAAGCCAAAATAAAATAAAGAATGCATGTGTAAACATATGTATCTGTTTAATCATCTGTTTAATCATCTTATGATCATACGTTTGCATTATAGAACAAAGGATCAAGCAAAATCCATCATTTAGCTAGGTCACTAACTTAACTGTCTGAATTTAAAAAAGTTATCCATAACTTCACTTTTAAATTAATTATAACTTCATTTAATAGTAAAACATCTAACTAAAATAATTTTCTATATCTGGAAAATATAGTTGAATATCTATATGGTAAAATGGAGAAAAACTTCTGAAGCATAAATAAACAAACATAAAAGCTAAAATTTTGGGACTCCCGGTAGTGCAAGGTGTTAAACCACAACACTTACATTTGCCTGCAACTGATGTGTTCAGGTTTTCTATTTCTCCCAATTTGTTTCAGTTTTGAAAGTTCATGTGGCTCTAGGAATTTTTGTTCCTGTCAGGAGTAGTGTTTTTATCACTGCTGATCACTGTCATCTTAGGGTTCCAGCCCATATCTCTGCAGTCTGGGTACTACTGACACAAGGCAGCAAGGGACACTAAAACTGGCCAAGGACACTGCCTAGTAGTTCACCTGACACTGTCTGTGGTTTTTATCCATGCACACAAATTCAATTCTACCCCAACAACAACAACGGGATATATTTAACAAGCCGGGAAAAACAGAGTTGCCTAGGCCATTTACTCACCTGCAGCTGTGTCCAGTGTTTTCCAGTTCCACACAAAACCAGCTAAGATGGCATCATCCCACCCTAGAGGTCTCCCCTGACCCACTTGAAGCACAAAGCAGCCAGACTCAAGGCCAGGTTCCAACTCACAAAGACAATAGCAGACACAAGAGGATATGGCCGTGGAGTCTCCCCTGACTTCAAGTGGTTGAAGCACAAAGCAGCCAGACTCAAGGCCAGGTTCCAACTCACAAAGACAATAGCAGACACAAGAGGATATGGCCGTGGAGTGCCAAAATGCCCCAGCACAGCACTAGACAATTGACATTCAATACAGCAGCTGCAACCACTGAATGTGATGACAAAAGGCTACACTCATAGAGATCAGTGGGGGCCTGCTCTGGGTCTTTGCATTCTCTGCCAGGCCATAACTGTAGCAAAACTGGGACCGTTCCAGTCAGTTAGCTAATTGCAAGGCATCCAAACATTTTTCCTCTCTGAGGTTAGCTGCTGGAGGATTCCACCTTCAGAGGCCCACAACAGCCTTCTGGGACATCTGTACAGCATGGCCAAAATTAATACGCCCAAATGCTGAAGATCCCAAAACCTTAAATCCTGAAGACTAAATGAATCTGCAGCCCCTTCTGCAGTCCCTTATAGTACTTATCTGTTGCCCCACCCCCAAATGCAATACTTTTTAGCATTTTCCATTGGGCTATCTATTCTCACCAGTAAATCCTCCATTGCGAACCACCTGAAATAGTTCCTGGCCTCAGTCACCAGTTACATTGTCAGCACATGTCACATGATCAGTGCTAATGCTGAGAAAGAAGGACAGGGTACTGTGGTCCAGCAACCTGTCTTCTTCACTGGGGATTTGGCCTGCCTATCACACATCAGATTCTCTGCATGTATCTCCTTTTGTCAGTAGTATACTGCTACACCACATTACTCCTCTTTTGCAGCATAACCAGCCCAACATCGGGGTGCTACAGGGCACCCTGTTAGTAATGCAGAGCTGACACAATGTTCTTTCAGTATTCAAAGTTTTTATCAATTTGCCAAAGAAGTTAACCTTACCATTTATAACAAATGAAGTTTCAAAAATCTTCATGATTTTTAATTTTAATCTACTCATTGATTTTGTGAATATATACCAGGTAGTACTTAGGTCACAACATTTATTGAATATTGAACAAAAATAGATCAGGTATACAACAATTCAGAAAATATCAATGAAAGCATTTTGGGAGTATAAATCAACTCATTTAAAATAATTATGATCAAATCAAACAGTTTAGTAGTATTTTCAAATTTTGTGTCACACATCTTCTGTATTAATACAATTTAGAATAAATGTATAGCTATATCTATAAATGTACATAACCATACTCATAGGCTCACATCATTCTTCATTTTACATTTTTCAATCAAAATATATTTACTAGCATTAATGATATATAATCCCACAAAAGGATACTCTCATAAAGATCTATATGACTGAGTGTGCTGTGTTATACCATATTCCTACATTTATCCTATATTACATATGATAGATATATAATACTACAACATTTTCATGGATATAACATAGTGACTACATAATTTTCTTTATTATAAAAATCACCACAATATAATTAACATCCACCATCATAAAGAGTTATAGCACATTTTTTTTTGTGAGTAGAAATTTTAAGGCATAATTTTTGGGGAACTTTCACATATGCAATAATTATCATAGTTATCATGCTGCATATTACATCAGCATGATGTATTTATTTAAAAAGTGAATAATCATATCTTTTGACTCCTTTCATCTATACCTTATTCTTGGTGCCTACCCTGGCAAATTTCAACTTATTCTCTTTGCATCTATGAAGTTGGTTTTGTTTAGTGGTTTTTTTTTTTTAAAAGATTTATTTGTTTGTGCATACAGAACTGGGGTACAGGCCAGAGGCTCAGGGGCGGCGAGAGGATTCACCAGAGACAGAGTGGGGAGCAGAACAGGCAGATCGACGAAGTACACTGCTGAGGGGAGCAGCGGGTGGATCAGGAGAGGTCTGCCGCGCCATGTGGTCACCTCCCGGGCAGGCGGGAATCGAACTCACGCAGAAGTGGGTTTAGCTTCTCGGTGCTGCGCTTTAACCCTCTGCGCCACCAGGGAGGGCCTGTGGTTTTCTTTTCTTTTTTTTTTTTTTTTTAAGATTTCAATATAAGTGATAACATAAAATATTTGTCTTTCTCTGTCTGAATTATTTAATATAATATAATTCCCTTGAGATCTGTCCAGGTTGTGCCAATTGTTAAGATTTTAGTCTTTTAAATGGCTAACTTACAATACACTGAGTGTATATATCATATTATCTCATCTAGTCATCTAACAAGAAAAACATACAAATAAAAAACACAGTGAAATACAATCTCACACTTGAGAATGGCCCATCACTAAAACTAGAAACAACAGATGCTGATAAAGATGTGGTGAAAAAGGAACTTAACTGATAATTAGACTTCCAGGAGAACCAGGCAGTTTGTAAAGCTGTAAATTTAATCTGCTGTATAATCCAATGATTCCATTATAAGGAGCCTACCTAAAGGACACAAAATACACTAATTTGAAAAAGAAAGCTGATATCTACATATTGCAGCAGGATTTACAATATCCAAGGTACGGAAACAAACTACAATGCTCCCCAAAAGATGAAGGATCAAGAGTTGCGGAATATATACACAACGGAATACTATGCAGAAATCAAGAAAGACAAACTCATGCCATTCTTAGTAACATGGATGAAGCTGAAAGGGATTATGCAGAGACAAATAAGTCAGAAGGAAAAAGATAACTATCACATGGTTTCATTTATATGTGGAGTATAGAAAAGTGAAAAACGCTGGATTTGTGTGCAGTTTGATATGTTGAAAGAAGTCAGATAAGTGGCAACTATGCACACCCATAATATGGTTGTTAGATATGTTAATAATTGTTCCCAGGCTTTTTGGACTTGGCTGATCTTATTTAGCTTTGAAGCAAGGTGATAATGACAGCCAGAATATTACAAAGCAAAACAATGGCTTCAACACTCAGGGGACAAAGAGATCCCTTTTAATTCTAGCAAAGCAGTCTAGAGAAAGAAAACAACTGAAGGTATCATACTTCCAGACTTCAAACTTTATTACAATGTTATAGTAAACACATAGTATGGGCCAGCACTTCCATACTTTTGGTCAGTTGAGTGCAAAATGGAGCCATTTCTACACATGTGGAAAGGAAAGTCTCCCACAATGCATAAAAATAAAGACCCTAAGAATGGACACCAGTCACTGAGACAAGTCTAAAAGATTTTACTGGCAATCCTTTATGCTCAAGGAAGTGGTTGCTATAACTTTCTAGTACAGTGTTTCAGTAGAGTTGCCAAAGTGAAGTGATATGACTACATTTATATTACATTACAGAAAACCTGTAGCTTTTTTTTTTTTTTTAAATCTACATAACTGTTGACTTGGAGTAATCTGATATCCTTTTCCTAGTAACAACAAAATCTTACCCAATGTATTTATCCAAAATGGGCGGCTGGCTGAGTTCCTGGAAACCCCTCATTGCTGGACAAACTCTCAGTGAGTTTGTATTTCTGAGTAGCACATCAATCCTGTCATTCCTAAATTACACCAGAAGTGAATTTCCGTCACCCGTGGGTCTGCAGCAGTGAGCAGTGCAGGGCAGCCTCACAGCCGCCCCAGTCTCACCCTCTGCAGCATACATGGGATTTTTAATTTTCTGTTTTAATTCCTTCCTTTGGAACATCTGTGCATCTCTAAAAGGGACACATGATGTCTTTTCTTTTACTCATCACGTCCTTCAATATTGGACCCTAAGATGCAAGAAATATAAGACTTGCCCGAGCCAAGATGCTTCACGACTCCCTCACCACGCCACTTTGCCATTGTATTTGTGGCACAA